TAAGGAACAGGGGAAAGCAGGTGAGATAATTTGCTCCCAATTTTCTTTTTCTTCTTGCTGTATCTGGGGGAAGGGTGGAGAGCAGGGCAGAAGCCTCACCAGCATCCTAAATGCATCCAATGTCGAGCTGCTCAGGTGGTTTCGATCATTCTGAAATACTGTCGATCTTGTTGATCCAAAGATGAGGAAATCCTTCCAAGGTCCATTTGCTGTGAATGCTTGGCTGAGAGAGTTGTTCAATTTGTTCTGCCCTTCATCCTCTGTTATGGTACTAGATGTCCTCTGCAGGCCCCAGTGAACTGCCATATCCTCCATGTGCATCTGGGCGTGCTATCTGCTCTGCTCCACAGGCCTCCGCAACTGAAGAAACCCACTTCTGACTCATGCACTCCACAGTCAGACCACAGATCCTCCCATTCTCGACTGGTTGATGTTTGAGGCCAGTGGTTCATGGAACAGGGGAGGTTCCCCAAAGAAGCCTTGCCTGAGGTGACCCCAGACCTGATTCCTGTGTGTGCCAGCCAGTACAGGTTCCATCTCAATACGTCACCCACGTCAGCCTACACACACACTAGTGGTTGCAGTTGCTGAGTCAGTTTTGTCTCCAGCCCCATCTCCTATGCAAACCAGTGGGTGCTGTGATCCAGCCAGTCCTGTCCACCACATACTCGGCCCTCATGTACACCAGCAGGAACTGCAGCCAAATTGAAGTGACCCCCAGTAATCCGCACAAGGCCCACCGCAGCCCTGGTTCCTGCAGCAAACTTGTCCAGTTAGTCCCACATCCCATTAGGTTCTTGTAAATACCAATGAGTGCTGGAGCCTATCCCAGCCCAGCCAACCCCATTATGCCGCCCACACTTATGCTACCACCAGCCCAGCTATGTCCGCCCCCATTCTGTGGCAGCCATTGGAGAGGTGCCCACAGTGTACTTACTGGGCCCACTCCCAGCCTCAGAGCTTGTACTTTCCAGGTGGTTCTGCAGTCTAGCTTGGCAGGACTTTCCCTGAGTCTCAGCACTTGCCAGCTGATGCCATGGCACAGCCCTACCAACTAAATCTGCCTTTCAAGTGAAAATAGATATGTGTGTTTGTGGGGAAATTGTTAATACCCTGTATAGTCAGCCAAAGTATGTGTTTTGAGTTTCAAACTTCTGTGACCATTTTGATCTGTAGCAACATTATTAACTTAACACATATAAAACCTAAATGTTGGGATAGGCATTTGGCCTGGTGGTTAAGATTGCTGTTTGGAGAACTCACACCACACAACTGAGAGTGTCTGCATTCATACCCCATCTCCACTCACTGGATCCTAGCTCCCTGCTAATACACATCCCTAGGCACAGCAAGTGATGGATAGGCAGCTGAATCTCATAATATATGGGAGACTCGACTTGAGTTTCTGGCTTCCTGTTTTGGTGACTGTTGCAGGTCAGTGCAAGCATTTAAGGAGTGGACTGATGAATCAGAGCTCTGTCTTCTGCCTTTCTAAGGGTCAGTGGATGAGTAGAAACTCCCAAGGGGTTTGGGACCAGAGGATTAAAAAAACCTGAAATATTGAATCTCATACCTATCAGTTCTTCATCACAATCTTTCGTTTTCTAAAGATTTATTTTATTTTTATTGGAAAAGCAGATTTATAGAGAGGAGATACAGAAAGATCCTCCCAATGAATGCTGGCTCATTCCTCAAGTGATTGCAATGGCCAGAGCTGAGCCAATCCGAAGCTAGGAGCCAGGAACTTCCTTCAGGTCTCCCATATGGGCGCATGGTCCCAAGCTTTGGGCCATCCTTGACGGCTTTCCCAGGCCACAAGCATGGAGCTGGATGGGCAGTGGAGCTGCCGGGACATGAACTGGCGCTCGCCCATATAGGATTCTGGTTCATGCAAGGCAAGGATTTAGCCACTGAGCCATCATGCTGGGCCCCTTCCTCACAATCTTAATAAGAAAATCATTCTGTGTGTTCTTCATGGCAACCCTTGTGTTTATCATCTGTAGGCTTTTCAATTATTGATGTCTCTGTATCTAGATAGGACATGGACTATAGCACGTTTTCATTATCCTTGTATACTGATTATTCTGAGTCATTACTGGTTCGGTGTCTAATGGTTTTTCTTTTCAATATGGGTTGAACTTTTGGAGGGGAGGAGGTCTCTGCATTCCTGATTATTTTCTTTTGGATGCCAACCATGGTGAAATTACTGGAGATTTTTGTATCCCTATGAATATACTTGAGCTTTGTTCAGGATTCAGTTAACTCACTTAGAAATAGTTTAATCATTTGGTGAATTGCTTTTGAGCTTTGTGAGACCAAAGTACAGCAACCTTTATTATTCAGTACTTACTTTTCCCCACTGCTGAGACAGCACCTTCAGTACTACCAGAGTTAGCAAGTCTTCTATGGCAATTGGTGGGACTTCATGTTAGCTACATGTAGCCTTTGAGAATTATTCTGTACCTTTCTTAAGCTTATGTCGTTTTCTGACATGTACTTGCTTGTCAGCACTCAGCTGCTGGCTTGATTCTTGTAGCTCTTGGGAGACAGTGTTCTGTGTGCAGCTTTCTTACAATTCTATGTACTAAGGACTTTGGCCACTCTGGCCACCCACTCAGCCCTTGACTGGAAGATTTCTCTCTTTCTGTTAGGGGTACCATGTGGTAGTAAGCTGGAGCAATTAGGGCTCTTTCTATTTCTTACCCCTCAGGGCCACTTCTTTTGTTGTTGCTTGATTTTGTTGTTGATCTATTTTTTGTTTATTTTATGTGTAGGGTAAATCCATGCGTGGAACCTCGTCTTGGATGGGCACAGAAATTGACTTTTTGTCTTTTAATTTAAACAAAAAATGTGAAGGAAAGATTTAGATCAGTCTGTTTGAATTAAATTTATTTTCCCTTATAATACTAAATAATATATTAATTTCTATTTTTATGTGTCAAATATAAACAAAATGTAAGATCATTTAATGTGGTTATTTTCAGCATTTTTCCTTGTCCATATTGATTTATGATGTGTAATTGCTTGATTTTAAGATTAGAAAACAAATAAATGACATCCTACATACATAGATAAATATTATTTCAGAATACATGTTGTAACCTGTGTGCTATAGTATTAAGCTTGGCGGACAACTCAGTCTTCAGTTCTCTTGTATTTGGTACTAAAGGGTAATGATTTTGTTCCTCTTATGCTTTTGGTTTATGCACATCATTGTTTTTGTTGTATTTATATTTTAGGGGGCTTATTTGGTTTATTCTGATTTGTCTCACAAGTTCTTCTTGTAAACATTTATTTGTTCTTATTGGAAAGACAAATATACAGAGGGAAAAATCTTCCATCTGCTGGCTCATCCCCAAGTGGCCGCCAACAGCCAAAGCTGAGCCGATCTGAAGCCAGAAGCCCAGAGCCTCCTCTGGGTGTCCCACATGGGTGCAGGATCCCAAGGCTTTGGGCCATCCTTGACTTCTTTCTCAGGCCACAGGCAGGGAGCTGGATGGGAAGTGGAGCAGCTGGGACACGAACTGGTGCCCATTGAGCTCTACCCCCCCTCGAGCTCTACATTCTTCTTGAGCATGGCATGGTCATAGTCTTCTTCAAGTTGTTTGTGAGGGTTAGGTGCATTTTGAGAAAATACATAATAAGCAGCAAATGCTGTATTTACAGGTATCATTTTGAGGTTTCAACTGAAAAGTGTAAGTTTCAAACAGTATGTACAGTGGGAAAATTTTACTGTGCCTGAACCTAATATTAAAAACCAGAGTTATGGTCATGGCGTGGTGTTTGCTTTCATTAGATTCAGAATTTTTAAATTTGATTTTGATGCCCAGATTAATAGAAATGAGTCATAATATCATTTCTCTTGTTACCCACAGTATTCCATTTGCATTTCACCCACATTTGTGAAGACAGACTATGGAGGGAAGTATGGCTCAATGCCTTAGGTCTCTCAGCAACTGAGGTTTTTCAGCCGTATTTAGGGCTTTTCCTTGGGGATTCAGAAATGCTGACCATTAATTAGAACTATACTCATTAACGACATGAATGCTGAGAAAATCTGAGGAAAAAGTCATTAAGTAAAATTCTTTGTTTTGTGCAAATGGAATGGATGGGATGATCGTGTTTTCTATGGTCTAAAACATATTCTACACAATGATACAGGAGCTACAAAGGCTATAAAATTATGTGATGCTTGCCCTATCTTTATGAATCAGAATTTAAGTGGAAACCACAGTTGTTTCCTTGTATGCCATTCATGCTTTAGCAGAGGATATGATGTCATAGTGCTGGTTTGATCTGTAGCTTCTCATTAAGGTTTGTAGAAGCCACAGCAGTTTTGATGTATTATCAAACCACAAATGTATCTTGTTGAGTGTTAAGCTGGAAGAAATGTGTTAATATTAGTCTCAGTATTGATTGAATGTGCCGTGTCTGGTTTAGGCCTATGTTTTTTTAATTTAACAAATAAATAAATGCATTTGGAGGGGCTTTAATAATTCATGGAAAATGAAAACTATGAAAATGCATGAATTATAAAATTTTTTGCACCAAAGTAAATTTAACTTTCATTTGTTTTTGAGAAATACGATAAATGCCTGCAGTGGCTGAGGCTGGGTCAGGACCAAGCCATGAGCGCCAAATTCAGTCTGTCAGGGACTTAGGAGCCATCACCCAGTGCCTCCTAGGTTGCTCGTTAACATGAAGCTGGAAGGCATGAAGCCAGAGCTGGAACCCAGGCACTCTGGTAGGAAATGCAGGCATTCCAACCAGCATTTTAACTACTAGGCCAAACACCTGTAACACACTTATCTTCTAATTCTATAAACGTTTTGAAATACCTTTATACACATTTCTTTGGGAAAGATAATATGTAAGCATGTAACTATTGAGCTGTGGAAAACAATTTTGAACCTCTTAAATATAATAATTTGTACTAAAATATAACGTTTTATCTTGATAACTTGGCTCAGATATGTTAAATCTCTTTTACTCAACCTTAGCATCAAGGCATGCCATGGATTGCCTCTCATAAATGGACAAAGCTGTGATCCTTATGCAACAGTTTCTCTGGTGGGCCCTTCTAGGTAATGTTACTTGCATTATTATTAAGTTTGATATGAAGAATTAGAAAGTTAAGTTGCTGAGAACTAATATTAAATGGTTATTTGTGAGACACAGTAGTGAATGCTTTGAAAAGAATATATTGAGTTCTGTCATATACTTGTAAGTAGCCAAGTTGTGTTCTACAGGAAATAAAAAGGTTACAGTTTCAAATCTGCCATAATCTTGGGATGTAAGGGGGGAAAACTCAGATTTATTCCATTAAAGTATACTTTACAACATAAACTTTGCCACCCTCATTAACATTCCTGCTATGAAATGTTCTAAACTTTTTGCAGATAAAATACTGTTTGAACTAATACTAACTCTTAATAACAAAAATAATTTCCATATTTTTATCTGGAAATAATCATTTCTATTCACGGAGAGAGAATTCTAAGGTTTAAACAAATTACTTGAAACACTAGAGCATGCTGAAATGTACCACATTGTTGATTAAATTATTTTGGGAGGGGAGCCTTTGGTACATTATCAAGTGATACTGTTGTATATTTTATAACCTTATTGTTCTTAGTTGCTTTAAAGATTGACCAGTTTGAAATTTCTCTATAACTTGATGGGTTAAAATGTGGAAATAGCAGGGAGAGAGGAACTCCTATGCCTGCAAAATTGTAAAAAGGAAAATAAAAATAAAAGATAAATAATAAAATAAATGAATAAGTGTTTTAAATGTGGAAACAAAAAGCATACTCTTCTTTCTGCAACCCAAGAATTCTTATTACTCTTATTTTATTTTGTGGAAAATCACTAAGTCACTCAAGTTACTTACATAGCTTACCTACATATGCACTTTTGTACCCAGAGCCTCATCCCATGCCTGATACACATGGGATGCTCAGTGGTATGCTATTCTTACAGTTGGTATTTGTTGTTAAAGCAGATACTATTGCAATTTTAAATGCTATCAAAGGGATTTATTTTTGTATGTCAAAAATATTAGGCCTACCAGTTCTAAGCATTAGGTTATGGGCCTAATATATCCTATCTGTACACATTTTTTTCATTGTAATAATGAGTCTTCAAAAACTTCACATAAGGCACATACTTTATGCATAGATTTAAATTTGTGACATGTTAAAATAAACTTATGTTTTAGTTATGTTTTCTCATCAACTTTTTGGTATATACTAATATACTGAAAAACTGGCAAATGAATTTGTTTAAAAAGTCACTGTTGATTTTACCTTTGTACTATAATTGTATAAAATGTTAACCTTTAGGGAGGTTGGGTAAAGGCACAGGACTTCCCTGTATTTTTCTCTGTTACTTCCTCTTCACTCTATAATTATTTCAAAAGGACTTTTTAAAGTCATTGTTGTTATAGCTGAAGCTCAAGAAATAATGTAACTTAAAAATGCTTTGCATACCCTTCAGGTATTTCTCAGTGCACATAAGGATAATGTAGACTTTACTCGGTAAAAGTCATCTTGTATACTGAGTTGTTTATGTAATAGAATATGTTTAGAAACCACATGAACAGAGCTTGGCAATCAATCTAGTGTAGCTATAAAGAGAATTCTATAATATTTGCATAAGAAATAGAAAACTTAGACATTCTTAGATTTCATGAGAACATATTCCCACCCCTAGAAGTATTTGAAACTGCAGCCTTCCCTGAGTCATCCTAACATTTAAACAGAGGCCAGTCTCCCTGGTTGGACATAGTGTGTTTTATAATTGTGTACTATTAAGTTCTACAAGGTAAAACTCTACCACATTGGAACAGGAATGATCAAAAGAAGACAAAAGTAAAGAAGAAAACAAGCAATCCACAGTTTAACGAAATCTTTTACTTTGAGGTAATTTTTTGTTTTATATAAATGTTAACATTGAAAATTAATATTGAATGCTAGTTTCTTTTCTCAAGTCATGACCCTAATAATTGCTTTATTAACTAATGCAGCTGTGCAATTCTGTCCTTAAAAAAGCAGAACTATGGAGTTGTACAATGGAGGCCCAATGTAAGGCAGAGGTCTGAGAGATCTGGGAGTGGAGAGGAGTAGGGCTGTGTACATTCCCCAGTTGTCGTCGCCGTGTTATCATCTTCATCTCCTCTACCAGCCCCCCAACACCTGATCAGCCTCCTGCCTTCCCACTGCCCCAACACTCTGCTCAGCCTCCTGCTCCCCACTCCCCCAACACCCTGCTCAGACTCCTCTCTTCCCACTCCTCCAGCACCCTGCTCAGCCTCCTTCCAGCACAAGGTGATCAAACTCTTCTTCATAGTATTGTTTGAAAACTGCCAGTGAAGTATGATTATCATTTGGTAGATCTGAATTCTAGCCCAAAGTTTACTGCAAACAAGCTACTATTTGACCCAAGTTTCTTATCTCATGAAAGGATAATATTGCAAGGGAAATGCAGTAGCAGTTCTATCCAGCTCAGAGCATGTGGAGGCCTTGAGATTAATGTACTGTATGATTAATCAGAACCCTATTAAGTTCTTTGTGGCCTAATTCATTTTGTAGACATACAATTGTTTCCATAGAGACCTTCAGCTGCCTTGAAGTTTCAAAAACAATGCTTTGGAGTTCTTTAGGGCATTTAAGTTTTATTTGTTTTGCTTTTGTTATTTGGAGACCACATTAAAAACCACATAAGACTGTAATAGTGGAACATGCTGTAGTTGATGTTAACATGTAGCCAATGTGCTTCCTTCTTTAGCATGAATTTTTATTGGATTTCAAAGTAAACAGTGTTATTCTTACCTGTACTCATTCAAAAACAGAGATGGCAGAAATGCTACAAGTAAAGTGGAAAAAAATGGGGTAGAAATGAGGGAAAAACGGAAGAAAATGTACCAATGTGAGATTTTTTCATTGCTCGACTAAGAATTTGGTATGGTTGTCCATCTGTACTACTTAGTGTGTGTTACATCTGGCCTGGAGGAAAACAGGCTTAGAGGACTGCTGATTGATGGTACTCAAATAGTCAACTTCAGATGAAAGGAAATCTCTGTGCTTCATGTCCTGCCTCCTCACTGCAAGCAGATGGCCCTTTAAACTTGCGTGCTGCACCAAGAATGTTCAGAGAGGCTTTTGTTGAGTTGACTGTAAAGGCAAATGCTATTTAATCTCCATTCTCTCACTAGAGTGAGTGACATAGGGCACACAATAGTATGCATATAAATTCATAGCAGTGAAACATTCTCGATTCAGGGTAGGTCATGTGAGCTGTGCTTGGTTTCACAGGGTCAGGAGAGGAGAGATAGTTGGAGAGAAGGAACATTTTAGTAACGGGACAGATGGAAAAGGTAAAAAAGTGTGTGTAAACAACAGCAGGAGTGATTTAACTGGATTTGTTTAAGATAATAATGGAAACTAACATTGGAAAGATAGTAGAGAGCTGCAAGTGTCTTGCTGGGGTAATAAATTTTAGCCATTGAATGTTTTTGAGATTGGAAGCCATAGGACAGCAATGTTTTGGAAGAATTAGCCATTATCTGTGGGCCAGGTAGTTTAGGAAGAGAAATTGAAGTCCTAGAAATTGTGTTGTTGTTTGGGTCTAAAAAGGAGGAGGACGTGTGTTCCAAGAGTGTGTGCAGAATACTGCAAAGCTCAGGGTAACAAGTGAGTTACAAAAGAAAAGAAGGTAAGGAATCAGATGTTGCCTTCTTTTGGAAAAATAAAGTTAGGAGGAAGGAAAGGTAAGTGGTTGAGTTTGAGGTGTGATATTTGAAATTCTCCAGTAGGCAACTCTGAACTTGTGACGAGTCAGGAAAGGCAGGCAGTGCAGGTGTGCAGTCACAGAGGAGAGTGAAGACGCTCATCTACTCATCTAAGTGCGCAACTTCATTTCTGTACTTTCACTTCCTCAATTTTAAGATGAGGATAATAAGTCTAGTTTTGTGCCTCAGCAGCATTCTGATGGATAAAGGAGATAATGGACATGAAAGTGCTGTGTAGCTCTCAGTTGTTTTCAGAGTAAGATAAAAGATAAAACATGTTTGTACGTTCTGAGGAAGAATTGGACCAGTAAAAGGTTGTGATGATGCCTTCAGGTAAACTGGGAAGAACATTGCTGAACAAGGAGGTTTAGTCGCATGATGACTAGATCAGAAAGAGGTCAAGGAAGGTGAGAATTGAAAACTGATCTTCACACTTGGTGATGATGAGAAACTTTTAGGAGGAAGTAGTGTGGCTCTCTCACAAAACATCCTCCTAAAATCTGTCTTTATCACCAAATCTTTCCTAGGATCAGAATTTCTCAGACTTGAGTGAGGTGAACAAGCTGGAATGCTGCAGTTAAAGTAGTGCACCCTTGACACATAATGCGTTTGGACCCTCATGTGGAGAAAATGACAAGAAAATTTGTCAAGTGGAGAGGCTGTGTGGGAGTGGACTTGTTCAGTGGGTGGTAGTTGAGAAAGTTCTGCTGATAGCCTAGGTATTTTCAGCGAAAGTGTGAACAGGAAGTGTGGGTGGGATTGGTAGCCTAAGAAATGTGAGAAAGTTTTTGAGCAGCACTTAGCAAGTATAACTTCATTTAAATAGGATGTTTTCACTGTTATGGTCATCTAAAGACTATCAACCAGAGAACCTTATGCTATCACGAGAGTTGATAGGAAGGCAGAAATGCTTTCATATTTTCTTTTTTATATCACCTAATTTTCATCTTCACTTGTTGCTTTATTCAATTTTGGGGCAAAATTTTTCCTAGATATTCTCCTCTACTTTTATCCAGAATTGATATCATTGGAAATGATAATTTTGAAGTTCTGATTGGAAAAAAGGTAGCAAAAGTTATTTTTTTGACTGGAATATTTTGTTGGTAGGTAACCAGATCCAGTAGTTACACCAGGAAGTCCCAGTTCCAGGTAGAAGAGGAGGACATTGAAAAACTAGAAATCAGGTATGTGCTTTGAGGGGGTAACAGAATTTTTTCTGTGCCAAAAAATCATCCTAAATTTAATTTAAAAAGGTGAATTAATCCTGATAGAATTCTTTATTTGCAAGTTAGTTGATGAAATTTAAGAGGAATTTGCATCTATTTTAAATCTAAGTTATCAGAATATCACAGGGTTAGTCAGAGGTCTGTCAGGTTTTAAAAAACGATGTAATTTTTGCCTTCGTAGCTTTGATTTTCCTCAAATTTAATGGATCATAACATCTAAGTGTCTCAGCCAATTTAGAAATAATTTTTTTATTCTTCTTAACATATCTGCTGACTAACAGAAATTTCAGTGAGGTAAGAAGATGATTCCACAGGTGCATGTGTTTGAAGTTTGTGCTATATCCCAGGTTTTAAATATTTGTGCCATTTTGGAAGGAAAAGCTTTGTAAATGCATGTACAGGTGTGGTGTTCACAGTGTGCTGATCGCAAAGGTGTATTAATATTATGTTTGCAGTGATCAGGTAATGTCTTTGTCTAAACTACCTATCTTTGCATATTAATTGGTCATACTAGAGAAGCTAGTCTTGTGTTGGTTTCTTTTCTCAAATCCAATAAAATAACTGTAGTCCTTACTGCCTTCGGATAAAATAAACCCTAGAATTTCAAATAAGGAATGTAAATGCCTTCTTTTAGAAAATTGGCAAATTGGTGCTTTTTTGTGCTTTTAAATAAAAGCTGCTAATAGCATTTTGCTCTTTTGGTTTAGATAATTAGGTTTAACAGTGCTAACATATTTTTGAGCATGTAAAATTAATGCTGTGACAAATCAAAATAATTTTAAGTATTTGGAAGGATGCATTATTTTAAACATTACTTACAAACATTGAAGCCAGTTTTCCATTTTCAGGATTGACTTGTGGAACAATGGAAACTTGGTCCAAGATATTTTCTTAGGTGAGATTAAGGTTCCTGTGAATGTATTAAGAAATGATTCGTCTCATCAAGCCTGGTAAGAAAACATTTTAAAGGACTCCGGAATTATTCATTTTTAAGACAAATAGTATGTGTGCAAGCAAATGCTTACTTAGGGGGACAGTGTCTGGCATTAAATTACCTGCATCTATATCCGAGCACTTCCTACCAATGCATACCTTGGGAAGTACAAGCAACAGCTCAAGCAGTGGGTCCCTGCAGCTCGCATAGGAGTCCTTGGTTGGATTCCCTGCATCTGACTTCAGCCCAGCCTGTTTGTTGCATCTATTTAGAGAATAAGCCTGTGGACAGGAGCGTGTCTCTCTTTCAGATAAACATATAAATGCTTCAAGTTTCAGGACCTGAACTGTAATATTGAAACAAAAGAACTGAATTGTTTAGGAACTTTTCTGTTTAAAATTAAATCTTAACTCTAAAAGAAAAAATGGAAAACATTGGGACTGGCTCTCTGGCATAATGGGCTAGTCCTCTGCTTTTGGCACCAGCATCCCTGGGCTCGAGTCCTTGGGCCCCTGTACCCACGTTGGAGGTTTGAAAGAAGCTCCTGGCTCCTGGCTTTGGATTGGCTCTGTTCCTCCCATTGTAACCATTTGGAGACTGAACCAGCAGATTGAAGATCTCTCCCTGTCTCTTTTTCTCTGTCAATTTGCTTTAAAAAAAAATTCAAAACCTTACAAAAAGAATTGCCCATGTTAAAACATGCTTATTTATGAATCAGCACCTACAATTCACAAACTGTATGGATCATAGGAACTGTGCATATCTGGAAGTGGAGGCCTTTTAGAGGACTTGGCGATACATGGGAACTGCCTTCACTTACACCCGGGGAAGGCCCTCAGTTGTTTCCCTGTCTATGGTATGAATGTTATGGAGCTCAATAATGACTTCAGTGTTATCTTGCCATTTCATGACTCTAATAATGAGATTAAACTAATGTTAAATTGATTGATCAGAGCTTTTCACAATCACTATGAAAAAATGGATAAAACTTTGGTGCCTGTCATCCGCCCCCCCTCCTTTTTTAAAGATTTATTTTATTTGTTTTGAGAGAATTAACGGAGATTGTTCTGCTGGCTCACTCCCCAGATGGCTTCAAAGGCTGAGGTTAAGAAAGACTGAAGCCACGAGCTTCATCAAGGTCGCATATGTGGTTGGCAGGGTCCCAAAGCGAGGCCTCCTCCACTGCTGTCCCAGGCCATGGAACAGTCAGGATTGGAATGGGTAACCCTGGGAGATGCTGGTGTCACAGGCCGCCACTTAGCTGTCTATACCATAGCGCCAGCCTCTTTACTTTCTACAAATAATACATATTTTTTAAATGGAAATTTCTAAACTCAATTTGCCAAATTTTTTTTTCCAGTACTATTCAGTATAGAAGAAAAAGTGAGTTGTGCCTCCCAGGGTTCCTCTGGGTGAATTTGAAGTGTGCCATACAGCCCTTATTTTATGTGGAACTATCTCTAGTCAGGGTTCCAAATTTGGCAAAACTGTGTTCAGTTACCATGGTAGGATAAAAGAACAGTGATAGAAGTTAATTTTATTCTTAAAGTGCTTTTTTTGCCAACACTAGAAATACTTTGAAGTAACCTGCCGTAAATATAAATGCTAAAATTTGATAACATGAAACAAATATCTACTAATTTATTGATACTAACATAAGGGTGAATAAAAATATGATTGTTATTTCCTTTTTTTAAATTTTTTTTCACATTTTATTATTATTGCTATCATTTTATGATACAGTTCCATATTCCCTTATCCCCTCCCCAATTCCCTCCCCCCCCCCAAGATCCTTTATATCATTACTAACATATAGTTCTTCATAATCAGTCATATGTTCATCATTGCGGGCATGGACAATGGCAGAGAATCCTATTGTCAAAATATAATATAAACAGTTTCACTGTAAGTCCATCTTTGTCTGGAAACAGAAACGCATACCACACTGCATCCTCACATCTGGTTGTTAGTCTCCATTACGTAACTACTGTACATTCCCTTAATTGAAAAGTCATGGTACAACATCAACAATAGAAAGAAAAATAGAAATTTACAATGCCATGAAGTTAAATGACATGTTACTAGATATGACAGTCTCCATTACACAACTACTTTCCCTTCCCTTAAATGAAGAGCCACAAAACAAAATCAACATCCGAGAGAAAAAAGAAATTAACAACACCAAGAATTTAAACAACATGCTATTAAATGTCTAACGTGCAGCTGAAGAAGTGAAAATCAAGAACCTTCTTGAAGAAAATGATGCCACTGTATTTCCTTTTAAATTGGAAATAAAACTGAGCCTGTTAATTTGTTACTGAGTTATGGCACCCCCTTGTGGGGTTAATGATAATTGCATAAAAACACAACAAACTATCTATTTTTAGGATTTCAACCATATTCTTGCTAGTGTTGATCTTAACAAAGAATTACAATGTTAGTAAGTGCTTTAATTCCACTTTTTTGAAAAGTATGTTTGCTTTCCTTTTATGTATACACAAGCAAATATATATCTTTTCCCCCTTTTTATGCAAATGGATGTCTGTTGGAGTCTACTCTCCATGCTGCTTTTTTCACATAACAGCATAGTAGGACATCAGTAAATAAATGCCTTCTGACTCTTGATAGAAGTTAAGAGTACGGGCTCTGGGACACAACTGCCTCGGTTCAGATCCCATCCTTTCCATGAACTGTGTGACCATGAACAGGTTACTCAGACTGTTTGTAAAAAGATTTCTTTGGCGTAAAATGGGATTGATAGAACTCATTCCTTCTCCTAAAGTTAAGCAAATGAAATGAGTTCATGTAGACAAAGCTCCAAGTACTGTATTTATGTCTAACTCACACTATTACTGTTGTAATCATTATCATCATCATTATCATTGTTCTAAATCAATACATACAAAATGTCCATATCTTTTGTTTGTTCACCAGTGTTCCACTGTTTGAAATGTTATAAAGAGAACCTTAAGGATAATCTAATTCAGTCTCATTTCACCAGTTCCTACAATGACAGTTTGTCAAAATCCTTTGTGATTGTACAAATTTATGTAACAATTTCCTGCTGAAGAGTCAACATGTAAAGCAACATTTAGGAGTGATAACAAATTAAATGTCTTTTCCATGTTACCATTTTTGGTTTTATGAGGGCCAAACAGTAGATAAATTAAGTGATTAGGCTTAGATATTTACACATTTTGAGATGATTTGTTTTCTAGTTTATTAATTTGGACACCTTGACCTTGTTCATTTTCTTTGTCTCATTTTTTTCAATATATCTTTTCATTATTTGAATTTACAAAAGATTTCTTATCTTTAGTAAATCCATTGGTGAATAGTCATGTTTAAGATAATAGAACATTAAAAATATTAGTAGACAGCCAGGCACAGTAGCCTAGTGGCTAGTCTTTGCCTAGTACATGCTGGAATTCCATATGGGTGCCACTTAGTGTCCCAGCGGCTCCACTTCCCTTCCAGCTCCCTGCCTGTGGTCTGGGAAAGCAGTAGAGGATGACCCAAGGCCTTGGATCCCTGTACCCGTGTCGGAGACCCAGAGGAAGCTTCTGGCTTTAGATCAGCTCAGCTGCGGCCAATGCGGTCACTTGGGGATGAATCATCAGATGGAAGATCTTCCTCTGTCTCTCTTCCTTTCTGTATATCTGACTTTGCAATAAAAATAAATAAATCTTTAAAAATATGTATTAGTAGAGTTGCCTCTGAGTAGTTGTTTTCCAATATATATCATTGTATACAAGTAATTATAGCTTTGTCTGTCTACCTCAGTTTACCCAAGCCTTATCGTTAACAATTTTTCAAATACTGACTTTTTTCTAAGGATTATTTGAAAGGCAGAGTTATAGGTTAAGATCTTCCAACCACTAATTCACCGAAACACCTGCATATGTCCTGGGATGACAAGTATACAGTCCCTTAGTAGGCTTTTTTTCTGATGACTTCAAAGACCATATCTTTAAATTACCATTTCTTCTGTCAGAGATCAAAAGTTCTAAAGATGGAAGTATGACATAATTTCCAAATTTCTTGTCCTTAAATGACCATTTCTTTGTCTTTTAAGTTTTGCTTAGGTAATTCTTTAGTGCTCTTTTCTGTCTCAAAGCTAATATTGTATTAAGCCTTCGTTTCTTGTTTTTAACAACTTGCTTTGTTTATAAAAATTATGCAAATCCAAACAAATTAGTCTGTAAGTGGCGGACATAGCCAGTAAATGTAAATGCAAAACCAAAACTTCCAAGTATCCTTTATGAAGCTAATAAGTTGAAGAGGAATGATAAAATTACACAATATTTGTAGAGTGATAAATTATAAGATAACTAGAAATTGTTTTCTGTTAACAATGCAGGAACCAGGAGAATGAGTAGAGGTAAGGCTGAACAAGAATAGTGTTTTTTTTTTTTTAAGATTTATTATTTATTTTTATTGGAAAGTTAGATATACAGAGAAGAGACAGAGTGGTAGATCTTCTATCCACTGACTCACTCCCCAAGTGGTCGCAATGGCCAGAGATGTATTGATCCAAAGTCAGGAACTTATTCCAGGTCTCCTGTGCAGGCTCCCAAGGTTTTAAGCCATCATCTACTGCCTTCCTAGGCCACAAACAGGGAGCTAGATGGGAAGTGGGACCTCTAGGACATGAAGTGGTCCCCATATGGGAATCTGGCGCAAGCTAGGTGAGGACTTCAGCCACTAGGCTACCATGCCAGGCCCAAGAATAGTTTTAAGATAATTGTTGAGGCATTAACTCATCTGGCTAATCCTCCACTTCCAAGCGTTGGGATCTCATGTGGGCGCCAATTCCTGTCTGTGCTTATGGCCTGGGAAAGCTGTGGAAGATGTCCCAAAGTCTTGGGACCCTGCGCCCACATGGGAGACCAAGAAGAGGCTCCTGGATTCTGGCTTGGGATTGGCGCAGTTCCAGCTGTTGTGGCCATGGGAAGTGAAACATCAGATAGATAGAAGATCTTTTCTCTCTGTCCTCTGTGCAAATCTACTTTTGCAATAAAAACAAACAAATATTTTAAAAAAATATGTAGTTGCTTAAACTAGGTGATATGGATTTCAACATATTACTGTCTTGTGTCCTATTTTTGAACATCATGATAAAAATTTTTTTATAAAATGATTCAGTTTCTGCTATGAGTTCTATAAACTTCTGGTTTCTAAGCACTTTTCTCTGCTTGAGTATTTAAAACCTCCCTTTTTTACATATATTATTTTTTGTCCCTTCTTTCCTGAAAATATTTATGTATATCACATTTTTCCAAATAAAAACATTTACGTTTGTTTTAAGAAGCAAGCCTTTTGTTAAAATAAGTAAGATATACTACAATGCAGGAGTGACATTTGTTTTAAAGTCAATTCTGTATATAAAATTTAAACTTAGAAGTTGCTGAATAAAGTTTAGAAACATACCTACATTAAAGGATAATGCTTTTCTTGAATTTAACTAGTAAAACCTTGCTGAATTTTTAGATGTTATACTTTTTTTTTCTAAACCTGGAAGCTAATCAAATTTTATTTAATTCCTTTGAAGAACCTAATTTTTATTTATCTATGTTTGTTTCCTGAATTATAATTTGTTTGCAGCCTCTTACTTCAGTATATAACTAGCATTAAGCCCCCGAAGATTAGTAGGTACTACTTATCAAATGTCTTAACTTTAAATATTGAGTTTACTTTTGGGTTTAATTTTTTGTTTTGTGGGGGTTTTGTGTGGTTTTTTGTTTTATTCTGTCTTGTTTTTGTATTTTCCTACCTTACAGCTGTGGGCTCCCTAATGTAACATGGCATTACTTGTGTTTTTCCTTTAGGTACTTACTACAACCAAGAGACAATGGTAACAAGACACCCAAAACTGATGACCTGGGGTCTCTTCGATTAAATATATGCTATACTGAGGACTATGTGCTTCCTTCAGAGTACTACGGTCCTTTGAAAACTTTGCTGCTAAAATCACCAGATGTCCAGGTAAAATCTGAAGTATATGATTTAATATGATAAGGCCAAAGTATTTTTGTGATGAAAATTCTGGAATATCAAGTTTGATTAAAACTATGTATATTTGTACTGATGCCCATGTTGTGCTCCAAACTTCATCTCTGATAAAAATGTTGACATTTAAATATTATCCTGTTAACAGTTGTAGTTAATAGTGTAAAATAGGTAGGGATCAAACATTTTAATAACGTTTGCTTGATTTTGCACCTGTTTTATACCTTTCTGTTTTTCCAGCCAATATCTGCCTCAGCTGCTTACATTTTGGGTGAAATATGTAGAGACAAAAATGATGCTGTTTTGCCGCTTGTCCGACTGCTGCTTCACCATGATAAACTTGTTCCTTTTGCCACTGCAGTGGCTGAATTAGATCTAAAGGATACACAGTAAGAGTTAAATTTTATTAAATGTTAATTATGTATTATTAAAATTGGATTTTGTTTGCAAAATTGTTTTTATATTCTAAGTTCTTATAGATTGATGAGGCTGGCTGTAATAGTAGGCCAAAAAGAACTGCTTAGTAAATATTGGGGGGTAATTTTTAAAGTTATCAAACAGGGCCCACTAGTAGTAAGGATAACAGTGAAGAATCTGTTTTTTATTTCATGACTAAATTTCCTTTGTATTACCAATGTTACTTCTTAGTGTGATGGCTCACATGTTACAACTAAAAGAACAAGGTAGAACCTGATCTTTCCTCCATCCTTTCTGTAGTACTCATATGTGCATGTGTGCGACAATTTATTATGAAAACCATGGGAGTTGCTTCCTATTCCCATCGTCACCCAACACTGTTATTTTATTCTTTCTCTCTGCCTCTCTTCTGTCCATAAACACTTTTTATATTGATTTTCACCTTGATTTTCAAATTGCTTTTGTTAAGTAATTTTGGTCAGTTTGAAAAGCCTGTGCTGAGAAGTTCAGAAGGCAAAAATTATTAAAGTTGCTGATGTTAACAAATTTGGTTTTAGTGCTTTTTTTTCTAATTATGCTTGATTTCATATATTTCTATTTCTGTTTCAGAGATGCAAATACAATTTTTAGAGGAAATTCTTTGGCCACCCGGTGTTTGGATGAAATGATGAAAATAGTGGGAGGTCACTACCTAAAAGTAACATTAAAACCTATTCTAGATGAGGTACAAGCTATAACTATAATAATGATAGTTGGTGATATTACAGCAGTGTGTTTCAACATGTGATCTTTAGATGGAAGTGACAGCCTTCCTGTGTTTCCAAAATAAGGCTGAACTTAAGCTGTCGACTTTTCTTTTAGTGGAGTTTTGCTCAAAGGCCACATTATACCGTGATCTACATAGTTATTTCTTTGTTAACTGAATTTCAGTTTTAGAGTTTCAAATAATTGACAAATACTTTTCTGTGTAGTTCTTTAGGGAAACTAAACATTGTATCTATTTTCTCTGGATGTGAATGCTATACTAATTATAAAATTAAAACAGTAAAAGTTTAATATTTCATATTTTCAAATATGTAAGAATAAACTGATTCATTTATTTTCTAGATATGTGAGTCCTCAAAATCTTGTGAGATCGATCCTATTAAATTAAAAGAAGGAGATAATGTAGAAAGTAATAAGGTGAGTCCTTGTTCAGTTCACTACTGCATGAAACTTGGTCGTTAGGGTATGCGTCTCTCACCTGAGCCAAGGTAATGCTGCCATTTATTCCAGCCTTTACTGTGAGCAGCATTTCTTAGGGCCAGGTTTTAGACTGTTTCCTCAAAGGTTTGCTCTATTTTTGTTTTTCATTGTCTCTTTCTAGGTAACAAATAGTAGACTTAGGCTGGGTCTCATTCCAGCTGCTACGGTAGTCATTCCTTGGGCGTAAGACTGATTCTGTGTGAGTGACATGGTGTTTCAGGGACTCGAGGAAGTGACTGTTAGGGTCATATGTTTTCCCTACAGGGAAGAGCACTGTCACAGTATTTTTGTGACTGCATCTTTATCTTTTTGTTTATGGTTTTTGTGAGGTTTATATGCTCATTTCTTAACGTCTAGCGAGTCTGAACGTATTAAATAAAGTGAGAATATAAATTGTCTTCTCTGAATGTTTAGAAAAGGGAAGCAGAATTTTAGAATACTAGTTAGTGAATCTAAATTTCATTGTCATTATATACTTTTTTATGAGGCTACTTTGTGACTTACAAAAGTAAAAGTTTCAATGTTATCTTTAATTTTGTAGGAGAATCTGCGCTACTATGTAGACAAATTATTCAATACAATAGTGAAATCAAGTATGAGCTGCCCCACTGTAATGTGTGACATTTTTTATTCTCTAAGGCAAATGGCTACTCAGAAATTTCCAAGTAAGTACCTGGTTTAATTAAATCTTTTTTTAGGTACTATATATTTGGTTTGGTGAAGTGTTTAAGACTTCACTCGTGATTCTTAGTTTTCAAAATGGCTCTTTTTTATAAGACATTCAATTAATTTTCTTATATTATCAAACATATTCCACTTAATTCTATACAATGGGAACTTTATACATAATCACGATTTGCTTTTTTTTTTTAAAGATTTATTTATTTTTTTATTGGAAAATCAGATATACAGAGAGGAAGATCTTCATCTACTGATTCACTCCCCAAATGACCACAGTGGCTGGAGGTGAGCCAATCCAGAGCCAAGAGCCAGGAGCCTCTTCCAGGTCTCCTACACAAATGCAGAGTCATAAGGCTTTGCGCCATCCTCCACTGCTTTCCCAGGTCAAAAACAGGAAGCTGGAATGGAAGTGGAGCAGCTGGGACATCAACTTGTACCCATAGGGGATCCCAGGACATGCAAGGCGAGGACTTTAGCCTTTAGGCTAAGCCCCACTATTAGCTTTAAGGCAAAAATGTTGAACTTGTAAAAAATTTATATAAAAATCATACCAGCTGCTTATGCAACTTGAATATAATTAAATATAGTTAAAATACCTTTATTACTTGTTCGAACTAATTTTCCAGTTTCACACATTCAAATAGTGAGAATATTATGTTCTGTACAGTTGACTCTATTTGTCAGTTTGAAAATTCTGTTTTGGTTGCGAAAGAGCATTACAGAGATCATATTAAGACTAGAAATATCATTGTTGCAATTAACACATTAAATTTTGAGGCACATGTGTTATAACTGGCTTGTTTTCATTTTTAGAAGTATGTCAGACTTCTACTTGGTAACATTTTACAAATTAGGAGTTGCTGGCTCTGTCCGTTTTTGGAATTCTTTTAATTCTAATGCATCTTTGCTAGAATAAACTTGGTATAGCTGTCGTTCCAGATCTCCCTTTAGTGGGCAAGGATGGGGAAGAATAAGAATTACCTAAATTATGGGTGTTTATCCAGCTATGTGGAGCTAAGTTTACTTCTGCAACTGTCTGAGAGATTTTGCTATTTTGTCCTGTTCTTTTAAGTGTGGGCACACATAAATGTAGTTTCCGCCTCATTGCTTTATTTACCACCAGCTCTTACCTGTAGATAAATTCAGGTCTACATAATCTTTGCTAATGAAAAATATAAAAGTTAATTTCAAATAGGAATAGTAAATCTAGTCTGTAAGAAAAATAAGGTGAGCTGAGACCTTAACATATACAAAGATGAATGCAGATTAAAATTATATTAAGTAGACATTGAAAATCAGAGTTACAAGCTAGTATGCTTTGTGGTCCTTTTATTTTTTGAAAGTCAGATTTACAGAGAAAGATCTTCCTTCAGCTAGTTTACTCCCCAAGTGGCTGCAACTGTCAGAGCTGAGCCAATCCGAAGAAAGGGGCTTCTTCCAGGTTTCCCAGGTGGGTGCAAGGTCGCAAGGCTTTGGGCTATCCTCCACTGCTTTCCCAGGCCACAAACAGGGAGCTAGAAAGAAGTGGAGCAACTGGGATACAAGCCTGAGCCCATATGGGGTCCCAGGTCATGCAAGGCAAGGACTTTAGTCACTAGGCTGTTGTGCCTGGCCGATGATTTTTGTTTTTTGTTTTAAAGATTTACTATTTTAAAGCATTACACACAGAGAAAGAAAGATCTTCATCTGCTGGCTCATTATCCAAATGGCCACAGTGGCACTAAGCCAAGCCAAAGCCAGAGCTTCATCCAGGTCTCCCACATAGACTGTGAGGGCCCATGCACTTGGGCCATTCTCTGCTATTTCCACAGGCCAGTGGCAGCCAGTGGCCATTGAGACAAGTACTGCTGTCGCAGGGCAAGTCTTAATGTACTCTGCCACATTACTAGCACCTTTATGGGTTTTTAGTGCAGATTCAACTCCTTAGTTTTTTCTTGGCTTAAATATTAAATGTCTTTACATCCTTAGTGTAATGATTTTTGTTGCCATAAAGTGCTTTTGTATTTTCTCATTTGTTCTTACTATCCTGGAATTATATGGGCCCATATGGCAAGCAGTGGATAGGAAGCAGTTATTGTAGAACAAATTTAATGCCTTGGGCCCAGTGGCGTGGTCTAGTGGCTAAAGTCCTTGCCTTGAACACACTCGGATCCCATATGGGTGCCGGCTCTAATCCCTGCAGCTCCACTTCCCATCCAGCTCCCTGCTTATGGCCTGGGAAAGCAATTGAGAATGGCCCAAAGCTTTGGGACCCTGCACCTGTGTGGGATACCTGGAAGAAGTTCCTGGCTCCTGGCCTCAGATCAGCACAGCACCAGCCATTTGTGCTCACTTGCGAATGGATCATTGGATGGATCCTCTCTGTCTCTCCTCCTCTCTGTATATCTGACTTTGAAATAAAAATAAATAAATCTTTAAAAAAATTTTTAATGCCTTATCAGTGTCATCCGTTGAATGTCTTATGAGAAGGAAAACTCAAACTAAATCCAGAGGGCTTTTTGTTTGTTTGCAAGATTTACTTGATTTTTTTTTTAATTGGAGAGGCAGATATGAAGAGATCTTCCATCTGGTGGTTTACTCCCCAAATGGCTGCAACAGCCAAAGCTAAACCAGTCTGAACCCAGGGGGTCTTGGACCATCCTCTACTTCTTTCCCAGGCCATAAGCAGAGAATTGGAGTAGCTGGGGAAACAGACTCGTGCCCATGTGGGATCCTGGAGGATGCAATGCGAGGATTTCTTTGCCTCACCAGAAGCTTTCTACTTTATTTTATTGTTGAATTAAATGTTTACTCAACTCTGAAAATAGAAGCTATTGGTGACTTATCAAAGCCATTAGTAGTCTTCTGGTCTCTGAATTTAATAGAGAGTTTTGATGGCCTCTTCAAAGTGAAGATTTCTGCACAGTTACTGTTAATGCAGGGTCACTGGCATTATTTTTGTGGGAAAATTAAAACAATAACCTAAAACTGAAAGCGGTTGTGTACTAGTGTAAAGGGATTCAGTGTTGCCACTAGGGAGTGCTAGATAATTTTGTTAACATGTCAGGAGCATTTTCATGCAGGTGAAGAGATAGTTTTCTAATTAAAAGATTCATTCAAACCTTATGGCTTTGACTTTCATTTTCTTTCAAGTAATAGGGTTTTTTCTCTTAATTTAGTCATAGTCATTCCTATCATTTCATCGACCTCATCCTTAGTAGACAATTTCTGCTGCTGTCCTATTTAGTATACATTTTTTGTCTCTTTTTTTTACTTTATCATCTTTAAATTCAGTGTTTTGTGCATGACATTTCACCGTTTTTTTCTGCAGATGATCCTCATGTTCAGTATTCTGCAGTGAGCAGCTTTGTATTCCTTCGTTTCTTTGCTGTAGCCGTAGTATCACCTCATTCTTTTCATTTGCGACCTCATCACCCAGTAAGTGTTTGTTCTTCTCAAAGCTTTATTCCATTTTTATTTGCTTTTATTAATTTTTATTAAAATGAAAAACCAGTTTTACATGGCTGTTTTATAACTACTGCTTAAATTTACTGGATGTTTTTCTTGGTGATATTTTTGTTAGAAGATGTTATAGAAGAGTGATAGAAAGTTGATCATTGTTGAAGAATGGTGGTGAATATGAAATGGATTCCTTGTTTTTTCATCTAGTGTTGTGTTTGTACATTTTAATATCAGAAGGGCTTGAATTTAATTACAGGTTTAGTTTTGTGTCTGTTTTTAATATTGTTTGCCTTCTTGATGTATTGAAACAGTTGGATGTTTATTCTGTGAAATACTTTTAACTCAGAAATTTGAAGCAGTTCGTTTTTGAAAGATGTTGCAACTTGCATTGCACGTGATTTGTTGACTACACATTTTTTTTATGCTTTCTCTACTTGAGGTTCAGTATAAATATAATTTTTTGTTTTTGAATCCAATTTAATTGCATAAAGTTGCAGAGATTGTTGTTCATTCTTGCTCTGGTTTATTCCTTTCTTAGTATATTTTTGCTGATTGTTCAAACTTTATGTTCCAAAGATTTTATAATCTTATCTAATTAGTTCTATAGCTGTTACTACCTGTAGAGCAGGTAATAACAATATCAGCATTTATTTGGTGCTTACTTTCTCGTAGGTCTTGTTTCTAATACTTTATACATTTCATTCATTTAGTCTCCCCACTAACCCTATGAGGTAAATTCTGTGAAAAATCACAACCCGGTAACTTCTTCAAGCTCACACAGTTCCAAGAGAGTGTGATGTTTCTCTTGACTTGCCTGGGGTTCCAAATCAGTCTTCTAGTTTGAGTTTCGCCTTCTTCCTTCTAGACTCTTAGGTAGACAGGTAAATAACACACATGAACCCTGACTGATGGTCAAAGTTGAAGTTTATTAGTGGCATCAGACTTTATACACTGAGGGTTTTATGGGATAAGGGAGGAAGTATTGAGAAGCATTGAGCTCCTCAACAAAACCCAGTAACAGTTTCTATGCTTTTGTCTGGAACTCCTTTTGTCTTGTATATTCCACCAAGTGTTCTCACACACATACTGTCCATTCAACTGTTCTTATACAAATGATATGCAATCAGGTATACAAAAGATAGCCATTCGGTTGTTCTCATGCAAATATTAGCCAATCTACTGTAATCCAGTGCTGGCTGACCTTCTAGGGTCACAGTTCATTCAGTCTTGTGGGGTGAGGAAGACACAGGAGCTTGGGATGTGAAGTCAGTTCTGAATGCCTGCTGGCATTCTGACAGCTGCATGACATTGGCCACTCCTTTAACTTAGTGAGCCGCAGTTAGAACCTTGTTACAGTGGCAGCAACACACCATTTCTTATGTGTACTCTTTTGCCTCTTAACATCTAGGTTTTCGGCATGTTGTGCGAAGCCTGAAATAGATTTTAATTGTATCAGGTTTAAATGAGTATTTTGAGTCATTATTTTACAGCAGCATAAATCATTTTATATACAAATTCTGTTTTTTGAAATTTTAACAGGAGTTTTGGCATTTTTTTGTATTCTGCAGGATGCACAAACAATTAGGACATTAACTCTTATCTCAAAAACCATTCAAACTTTGGGAAGCTGGGGGAGTCTATCCAAAAGCAAGGTAAGTCTTTACCTCTTTTGTTTTTATACTTCTAAATGTGATTCCTTCTCCAGCCACCTTGTTACAAATGAAAAATAGATACATACAGGTACAATAGCCATCTTTAAGGTCAGTGCTTTGTGTCAGTTATCTAATAAAGATGACAGTTTCATTCTGATGCACTTGAGAGTGAAAGTCTATTAAGAGGATGTAGTTTTCAGTCTCTTTTGTTCTCTATTTAACATATGTAAATCCTGTGTTTTTTCTTAGTCAAGTTTCAAAGAGACATTCATGTGTGAATTTTTCAAAATGTTTCAAGAAGAAGGGTACATCATAGCAGTTAAAAAGGTATGATTTTTTTATTCTGAAAATATTAGCTTTTTTTTTTTCATACAGCATTGGGGGAATATATTTCCTATTCAGAAAGTCATCACAAGTTTAAACAAATGTTCATGGCTATCATAACCCTTTTTCTTCGTTTTCTTATAAAATGGTAGGTTTTCAACCACAAAAATGCCTAAAAGTGAGTTTTCGTGACAGATACTATTGCCTTAGTACCACAGATCACAAATGTTTAGGGTTTGACATTTGGGCTGAGTAATTTTTGATTCTGAGGGACTGGCCTGTTTGTTTTAGGATGTTTAATAGCAACCCTGATTTCTTCCCTGATGATATCAGTAGTATGTTCCCAGTTTTGACAGCCAAAAATATTTTAGGAATTGTCCAAAGTCGTCTGAGGGACAGAGTTGCTTCTGATTGAGAACCTGTGGTCCAGGGGGTAAAGGGTTAACATGGTACCTGATGTGTAGTGAGCAATTACTTGCATTGTAAAAATATATGAATTATTCAACATTTAATGTGTTAGTTCTATAGGCTTATGGTATTAATCTAAGGAAAGTTACTGTAGATTAAAATGCACAAAAGTACACAGTATATAATATACTAAGATGAGGCTTTGCAGTTTAAAAAAATATTGAAAGTTGAAAATGTTTTAACCTATCTTTACATTTTTAAGTTAAGGAAAAGTTTTATTTGAGAAGAAAGAAAAGGGGCTCTCAACCATTGTCTCACTTCCCAGATGCTCTGTGTTGCCATGTGCGAGCGAGATCACACCAGACATGTCTAAGGTTTAATAAGGAGTCTTTATTAACCAAGCTTGGTGATAATAGAGCACAATAGCAAGTCACAAAGTCCATAAGGCAATCCAACCAATCATAATCTAACCAAACATAATCCCCAAAGGAGCAAATGGTCATTATCCTTAAGTCCATCCATTAAGCTGAAGACCTATGTCCCAGCTTCCCCAACAACATAAGTTATTCTAAGAGACATGCAATGAATAAGCTGGACACACTTCCAAAGCTGCAGACATTCACCTTTCCCTGGCTTCTCTGCCCACATTCCATCACTGCTAGGCCTCACCCCTCCTGGAACTCCTGAAAGCACACAAACCAGAAACAACATTATTATATCCATTGTCCCATCTAAGCAGGGTACAGAGACCATGCTCAGGGGATTACCTGTCCTGGGTCAGGCAAAAATTGAGGTGTCAGAGTAACGGAAGCACCTGGCCAGAAAGAGAGCGAGATCCCCCACTTCATCGACCTTTTCAAGGGGCTTGTGAGAGGGATGGTTACACAACAATGCAATAAGGTCCCCTCTCATGTGATAGGTGAGTCACAGGTGGGCAGGAGCAAATACCTAAGTGTTGTGGGCTAAGGGTTTGATTAGTGCTCCTTGGGATGGGCAGGAACTGGGCTTGCAGCTAAAAACACCTAGACTAATTGGACTTATCTGCATCCAATATCCTGGCTAAATTAGGACATGGGGGGAGTGGTTGAGGATGGAATTATCATTCCATTGCTGTTAGGACCCACCTTCAGGACAGAGGGTAGGCGACACAGCCAAATTTCATTTGCCTACTGTCATTGGGTGCTGGCTGTCACTGGCTGCACCCCATAACACTCTGGACAGTTGGGACTGGGGCTGGCTTAAGCTAGAGCCCTGATGGCTACCTTCTGGGGTTGCATTTGCAGGGATCAGGAGTGAGGTCATAGCCAGAGCCAGGTGTGAACCCAGGCAGTCCAATACAGTGCAAGTGCATCCTTGCTGCTAATAAGATGCAGACCTCAGAAATTAAAAGGATTTTTAATTTCTTGAGTCTTTAATAAAACAGAGCAATATTATAAAACCCTGAAAAATTACTCAACTTTTCTTAATATCAAAATGAAACTTCATGAATGTACTATATATGATTTATCTCAGTCCTAATTTGGTAAATCCAAATTAGCAAGGCCAGATTTTAAGATTTTATTCTGTTTCTGAGGCATAATTAGCAGTTGATTGTCAAAGGTATGTTTCATTGAAATATATTTTTTGGACTTTTAAAACTCTCACAAAGCTCCATAATTAAATTATTTGAAAATTGAAGTCAGAATTTTTTTTTTTACTGTTAACAGCTCAAGGTCAACTGAACTTTTCCTTTTCAGCAACCATTGAAAGACAATTGGAAAGAGTAGGCAAAGAGAAAGCTGCCGTTTTACTTTTAGAACACTGTTGAATATTTTTGGAACAATGTAGGCTGACTTTTGTTGGAGAGACGATACATTGTGTTTTGTTTAGAGTTGTTTTCCATGTTTTATAACTTAGACTGTGGCAACATTGTATTTTTTTCCCTTGATATAATCAAAGTATGTGGTGTTAGTGGAGAAAGGCTTACAATTTGCCAATTTAGTCTATTCCAACTTGCCCTAGTCACCTATTCACATTCTAATAAACAATCACACAGCACAGGATGTTTCCTGTCTCAGTTCTGATTCCAGTTTCCTGTGGTCGCATAGAGTATTTTGCTCTAATATCCTGCTTTTCTGTATTATTACTTACTCAGGTGTAGCAACTGCTAGAAGTTGCAAAAGCTCATGATGCCCATGTACTCTTACTAGTGACATTGGCCATTATGACTCAGTCGTTTCCCTCTTCCCTAATATGGGAGGTACAGAACCTGTATAATTCTCTAAAGAGGGTGACCATGTGATTTGTTGTCTATGCCAGGACACTTTCAAATACTGATGCTCATTCTAGAATAAGTGTTGTCTGACAGGATCCTTTAGTCACTTTGTAGGCCATCTCAATTATTGTTTCTTCCCTTACCTTATGCGTTAATTATTTCCTAACTCAATCTTAATCTCCATTGTGGGTGTCAGGGACCCACTTAGAGCAGTTTGCTGCACAGAGTCAGTATTGGCAGGGACCCAGATTGGAAGCATAGTTCTTTAGTTACCTTGGACCTGTCACCCACATATAATGAAAAGGGAACACTGTTCTAAGTTTTCACCTGGCAAGATTTTCTTCTAGCAATCTAAAAGTAAATATTTCATTGGAAAAAACCACAAATGTGGGTTCTGGTGCATCAGTTTACTAGTCTTAGGAGAAAATGGTAGTCCCTACAAGTTCTGCAGTAAATTCTGCTGCATATTGTGCTTTGGGATGAGACTGTCCGTGTCATCTCTATTGGGATGTAGAGTAAGCCTTACTTAGAGCAACATAGAAACTTACAAAGAAAACAGCAAGGAAATTTCGGTGTCTTGAGTTTGTAGTATCCAGTTAATGAACTAATTAAATAGTTCATTAAGGAGGAAATAGGACTCCTACATCTTCATTCTTTAATTTTTCTTTTCCATGAGATAGCCTCCTATGACCCTCAAGTCCTTGATTAGTTGATAAATAAATTTCATGCTCAGACATCAATCTCATCTCTAAATTTGCATTGTGTAAATGCAAGTTTTTTATAATCTGAAAAAAGCTAAATCTGAAATACTTTTATTTTCAAGAAATATATATGTATTCCTTAATAATGAAGAAGTTCATAAAATAATCAATGACATATAAAAGGAATGAATTTATACGTTATACCTTACCACAAAGTGTAATACTTGTCCATTTCCCCCATTTAGTTCTTGGATGAAATTTCATCTACTGAAACTAAAGAATCAAGTGGTACAAGTGAACCTGTGCACCTGAAAGAAGGGTAATTTAATGAAATCAAACATGAAAGTTGTATTTCAGTATAGGCTTTAAGTAAGTACAAAGAATGTGGGTCTTGGAGTGAGGAGATCTGAGTCTCTGTGTTGTAACTTCTGAAGGGAGATTGGTCAGGTTAGTCACCTTCGCTGTCTCTACAGACCTTATGTCAGAGCGACATGGTTCTCCACAGTTTCTGAGGTGGTTCATAGTTTGGATGAGATTATGGGGGTATTGTGATGCTGTGGCAAAATAGCACAATGCAGTCATAAGATAGATTGTTATTATTGTAAGTGAAGGGTAGAAATTACTCATTTGTCCCTTTTGTGTTCTGTGTAGTACAATTACGTTTTTTTAATTAAAGACTTTATTCCTTTAGTATGCCCAAAATAAATGCAAGAATCAGAGCTGGCAAAGTCATTTTTATATCTGCAATAAAATTGTATACAACGTTCATATCATTTAAAATAAACAATTCTTTCTTTGGATTAGATTATTAAATATTTTTTGTTTATGTCTGTTGTTTTGACAGTGAGATGTATAAAAGAGCTCAGGGAAGAACTCGGATTGGAAAAAAGAATTTCAAGAAACGGTGGTTTTGCTTGACCAGCAGAGAGCTCACCTACCACAAACAGCCAGGTAGTTGTGTTTGCGCTTTATTACCAATTGGTCACCCCCTAACCCTAAGGGCAGATCTCCTTTTCACCTCTCAGTGTTACTCAAGTGAGTCTTTCATAGCTTACGTTTCTTAGAATGAAATCTTTAACAATGATACCATGTAACTTACAGGGTTTCCTCACATACACATTGGTATTACTAAAATTGGTGTTCCTTTAATGTGCTTTGTTTTCTAAAAATCCCTGGTATGTTTCTGCTGTAAAAATCAATATATAAGGAGCTGCAGTTAAACCCTTAGAACTTGGCAGTTTCTTCAATTCACATAGGCAAATTACAATTCAATACCTAATAAATGAGAATATTTTTATGGTTTTCTGGAAATTCTCAGTCAGAAATTTTTATAATCATACCCTAGTATCTCAATTATATGTCAGATTCATTAGACACTGTTGGCCAAGCTAGTACCAAAATGGAAGAGTTAATAGTTTGCCCATCCTGAGAAGACTCCAGTCTTCATGGATGGGCTATGGATTTGGGTTTAGAAAGCCTTCTTCCTGCACAGTTAGTTAAGAGTCTAAGTTTATTCCTCAATGACCTGAAAATATACTTAGGTTTATTCATTTGGTTTAAAGCATATACAGACGATGACTAGCTTCTCAGGATAGTGAGAAGAGTTTAGAATCGAGATTAGAAGTCATGTAAGTAGAATTCCTTCCAAAAGGATGAGGAGCCACAGATGTTCACCTTTCTGAAAAGGTCACGTAAAGCCGAGAATCATTTAGAAATAAGAAAAGAATGCATGCATATCCTAGAGATTGCTGTATGCCTTTATCAATCTTTTGATGGTGAGCTAGATTCGAATCAAATAAGACATAATGAGTCAGTTTTCAGGTTTCTCCAAAGTAAATCCAGAAGTTAGGTGCTTGAAGAGTAATCCAAGTATGAATCCTTGTAGACTTTGAGAAAAGTGACTGTAATGTGTTTCATCTGTCTTGCTCCCATAGAAGTCACCTTTATATATGTAGGCATGGCTTCCCTCTTCCCGTTTTTTAAAGCCCTTGCTTGATTCTCAGATAAACAGTAAATCTCTCTTGGTAGAGACCTCTTACTTTATTTTACCTAATATGCAAGTAATTCATAATTACAGCATGGAAAATTGACGTTTCTGCCAAACTAATGAAAACAAAATGCTTAATAATAACCCCGCAGCCACAAAAATTGGTGTGCAAAGACTGTTGTTCAGTATGTTTTGCAGAGGAAATGGAAGAGTGTTCTGTAGATTTTGAACAGTGGAAGAAAAAATTTTTGTTGGAAATTTTTGTAATTCAAGAACCTACATATGGCCAAATAGATTAGCCATATACAAAACAACTAAATGCATTACATTTTGTGGAACCAGGATTTTTTTTTTAATAAAATATACATTTTCAGATCACTAAAGATGAGTAGGCTATGTATTTGCCTTTCTAGACTTAAGCTGAGCTCATTTTGAACGTTTTACAAATTATAACTTATTGAATAGTATAAATGTGCTCACCTATGTGTAATATAGGTATTGTTTACATTTACATCAATACTATATTTAAATAAAATTTAAGGAAAACCAATTTTCTATGTATGAGAGGTTGTTTCCCCCTCATTTAGTTTGTTGTGAACCAATATTCTAAAATCTGTCATTTCTATACTTCCTTTAAGAATTAATTGATAATGATGAGCCCGTTTTTTCAGCAAGTTGCACATTGCATAGATGTGAAATTTTGCACAGGATTTCATGGAGTTTGTAGTCCCAAATGTTCAAAATGTCCATTCACGGTTCAAAATGTCTGTGCAGGGATTTAGAACAGAGTAAGTTCTATGGAATTTTTAGACACATTACAAGCTACATTATTTCTATGTTGGGTTGACATAGGAGGTTGAAATTATTTACCAAAGCCATCTGTGCTTTTTGTTTTAACTTTTTTCCAAAATGTATTACATGCTTCGCTGCCTTCTAAAAAAAAGAGTTCCTTGAACGTAAGTTACCGTTTCTAGATGACTTGGGGCTATGATGATATTATTGTAACATGATATCCTGATTTAGCAATGTTTTCAGAGATACTGAAGGGTGTGTGCAGCTGTTTACTCCTCAGCTGAATGCCTTGAACTGCTCTGCTTTTTGTGTTCCTGTGTTTGCTTTATACAGTTTCTGTTTTATATGATGAGGCTGTCACCTTAAATTCTTTGTCCTGTCACTGAACCGTGATCTATCACTGCTCTCATTTCCACCAACCTCACCTCTTTTTTTTTTTTAAAATGCTGATTTACCGCTGTGAGGATCTGTGAGGATCCAGATATAGGGGTTTGATAAAAAGCATGCAGTGAATTAAAAGGATTTTAGTGAAGGTGTTGGGACTTTTCCATAAATAAAATACATGGGCTTTGCATGCTCCAAGTAGCTTTTGTTGCTTTTTGTTTCCTGATTGATTTTTAGATAGAGTGTCCGAAACAGAGTGCCTCCACGACTCAAACTTGCCGAGTCTTTCATTCTGTCTTCCAGCTACATGATAATATTCTATGTAATTATACTATTTAGAATCAAATAATGTTGTCTATACTCAACTTAGTGTAAAAGGAATTCATGTAAATGTCCTAATTTTAGGGGTTTTCTCTAATATATTAACTTTTCTTATGACTGTTTAGATCATTGTAAACAAACAATAGTAAGAAACTAATCACCAATACAGTGAAATTAATGTTTGGCAAATAAATAACACTCAGCTGTCGATCATGATAACCTTGACAATTTTTTATGGGTCTGTGTAAATATGATTATATATCTTTACAAGTATATTGTAGTACTGCCATCCTCTAGATCATTGATGTTACAACATCTCATGGATTTCATCCATGGATTTCGTATTTTACATTCTGCATAAATGGATTCCCCGAACTGTCGCTTACAGTTCATGTAGATTAAGCTCTTTTGTAACCACACTTTTACATATGTTATACCTAGAAATCCTTTTCTTCATTAGTTGTATACTTTGTTGTTCTTTAAGCCTCAGATCAAACATCAGCTCTTTATGAAAGTCATGTAAGCCTCAGTTTACATGAGGCTTTTGTTTGTTTAACCACCTTAGAGTAATGTTTGGCATGCTATATGATTGATACTTCTCTCTCCTAAAACCTTTAAGATCTTCAGTGGTAATGACTATGTTACTGCTAGTGACATAAGGGCAATTAGTGAATGTTCTTCAAATACTAAGTGTTTTAGATAGTTCTGTTAATTTTTTCCAGAGCCACTGTTCCAGGTTTTTAGGATTTCCACAAAACACACTTCTAATACATTACCAATAAATCCATTTTTAAAATTTTATTCCATATAATTTCTACAAAAATTGTATGTTGTGCATATCTGTGTGTAAAGTAGATCTCCCGAAAGTAAACAATTCACACAATATCCAGTTATATCAGATGTTCCAGGTTGTATAATAAATCAGCAATACAGAAGAAACTTAAACATAGATGATTCATTTAGGTTGTTCATATTTTCACACAGGGCTCTGTATAATTTTCCTCAGTAAAAACAATGGCAACAACAAAAAAAACCTGGCACTGATTCAGTCAGGTGGTTTTTGTTTGTGCTTTCATTTCTCAATGTATTTTATCAAACCTGTGCACTTCTCTCTGGAGAAGGTAGCAGTGATCAGAATGTACTAAAATCCTTTTCCTCTTGGGTTTTATAATGTAGAAGTGATGAATACTTCAAAATAGATATATATGTGTATGTATACATAAACACATATATGTAAATATACACATATATACACAATGTATAGATGAGAAAAGCAAGCAAAGAAGGGGGATAGGAAATGATGGACTCAGTGAGGGCAGTTAGAATACTAAAAATTCAAGCAGAGAAGGCTCACTGAAAAAGTGACATTTGAATAAAGACCTGAAGATAGTGAGGACATGAACTATGTGGACATTTGAGAAGAGTTAACAGCTTTCAAAGCCCTGAAAAAGAAGTTTGATAGGAATGTTCAAGAGACAAGAGAAAATATTTGTGACTCGTAAGAGTGAGAAAGGGAGTGAGAGTTAAGAAACTAGGATCAGAAGGATAATGGAGCCACACAAGACCCAGAGAAGCTGCACAGATTGGCAGCCTGTAGCCACAGGCAGTCACAACGCTGTCCTCAGACACGGGTACCCACCTTGTCCAGAGATTCCAGTTCAGTGCTGTTCCCACATGGCCCTCCAGCAGAGATGAATAACCCGAACCCATGATACTGCCTGGCTGAGTATACTACATCCATATGGTCTTACCAGAGCAGTCCTACCCCCAAAACACCCATCAAAAACTGATGCACTCTCCCACTTCTGCTGACATACCAGTTAAGCATCACTTACGTAGGCCCAACAGAGAAGCAACCCTTCAGCCCCCAGAAATCCCATGGAAACTAATGAGCACCCCATACCCACTGCCTTTCACAGCGTCCCCAGAGCCACCAGTAAATGTGCCCTGCCTAAAGCAGCTAAATCCCACAGGTGATGCATTTTCATTAATCCTGCAACCTAGCCCACTGAGATACCATCACAGTTTGCCACATGTTGACTACAGGTGAAGTTGCTACATGACTTGAACTAACATACCCACCACATACCCACCTGGAACCAAAAGCAACAGAATATTGAGATACCACCCTAGGACACAAGACCGGAGAAAACCTTTCACAACAAAAAAGCTGGCACACAAAAGTGGTAGTTTTTGCAAACAGAGACAAAGAGGAACACCATATAATAATAAAGTAATTCAACAAGAGAAAATGCATAACACAGATAAATGCACACTCAGTTATGTGACGCAGCCTGTTACATGAAGCAAATGTTATTAGATTTCAAAGGAGAGAGAAACTCCAGTGCACTCATCCGTGAGGGCTTTATCACTCACTGAAAAAATATCATCTAGTCGGAAAATTAAGGAGGAAGCAGGTGTAAAGCCTAGAGGTGGACAGCCACGTCTCATCAGCAGAGTGTCCAGGTTC